AAATCAGAGCCCGACCGTAAAGAAAACAGTAAAATTAAGCGCAATGAGTCCATTATTACACCTTATTATTACTATATCTTTTTGACATGGTTTAACAAGTAAGCAAGTTTTCAAAAAAAACTCGGACCCTTTTATTGTAATTTTCATTGTGTCGAAATCACAGGTTGTGATAGGGACAATGAAAGAGCCGCAATCAAAGAAATTGTATTTGCTTGTTAACTGGTTACCATGCACACTCTTAAAGGTTGTTTCTGCTCTTCAAATTTATATGTTGCACCCGCACCGGAGCTCCATGGATAATAATTGATTATATTGAATTTTCCGGGTCTGTCTCAATAAATTTCAAAAATATTCAATTATAATCGATTGAAAATGGATTATAGTGATACTATTTTTTGAATCAATAAAATCCAATTGTAATCGATTATATAATCGATCATTTTTGAAGGAAAATGAAATTTGTTTTGTAGCAAAAAAATCAAATTTTAATCAATTTTAATCTCGATTATAATTGCGCAATTCTTCCATAAACTTTTCAGAATAACTGTTAACAATGTCAGTTGTGTAACTCAGAATAAATACTATTTTCTTTAAAGTATTTTTTTTTTCAAATTTTCGATAAAATTTTTTAAATCGTGCGACCTCAGATTAGGCTTCTTCGAGACAAAACATGAAAATTTATCTTTATATAGTGTACTCATGACAAATGAGTCATTCGTAATTTCCAGAGTAATTTTACATCTTTAAACTTGCTTTTTTCTTCCAGGCATAATTAGAACTAAAAATAGAATAGCCTAATTAGCGAAATAAAATGGTTTATAATGGATTTTCTCGACAAACTAATCAATTATATTGGAGAAAAAAATAGATTATAACGGATTATAATGGATTTTTTTTTCGAAAAAAAAATCGATTTTAATGACCACAAAATCGATTACGTGGTCTGAATTTGCAACAATAATGGTTATAATGACAACATTTTAGACAACATTTTTCCATTATAATCGATTTTTATCCATGGAACTCCGGTGCAAGCAGTCATCGAAGATCCATTCTGGCCTTAGTTTTGAATAAGATTTTTTTCGTTTTTTGTAATCAAAATTTTTCCCTTAATTTTCATCTTGACTCTGAATCTCGGAAGTACTGTATCAATTGCGAGAGCAGTTCGTGCGTAAATGTTGGTCAAGTCATTGTCTAGGTAAATCCATCTTAAAAGAAGATTATCACAGTTTTTGCCAAAACTAAAGCTAACAACAGGAAATGTCCCTTCGATACGCTTTCATTTGATCCCACCACTGATAATGGCGAAAAAAATTAATGTTTTTTTTTGTTTTTTTTTTCATTATTTTCACCCCGCAAAATCAGGCACCACAAAAATTATCAGAATGGGTCGAGTGAGATATCATAATGAAGCTTTTTCAGGCTTTTTGATTCGAACGACATAAAAAAAACTCTCAATAATTCATTTCCGTAGCGAGGAAAACTATTCTTTTTTTTGCTTTTTTGGCATATTTTTTAGCGAATAAAGAGAGCATGTAGGAATTGTATAGAAAAAAAATAAGCGGTGAACAACTTAGTTTCATTCCAGGAAAATGTATTCTTGAAGCTTCAAAAATAGCTTTGGTTTTTGGCCGTAAAGAGTTTAATACAAACAGAAAAAGCTTTTGCATTTGCTCATAAAGTGTTTTTTGTTTCGTTAACTTTTTTTTCTGCGGACAAGTAATTTTGATAATTGAATCGCTAAGGTTCCAAACTTGATGCTTTTAATAATCTGTTTTGTTTCAAATTATGTTAAGTTGGGTTTTTTTATATTTAAAAAGGAAGAATTTGCCATTTTTGCTTCTATTCATAATTTATTGTTTTTTTTTCAAAAAAATGATGATTTTCGAAAATCGTTAGACTTTTTATTTGAAATTTTCATTAATCAAATCAACATTGCACAATATTTTGATTTATTTAAGGCTTATCGAATCCTAAGTATCAACTATTTTTCTTCCAAATTGTGTGTTTTGCGAATTGTGAGCAGATTCCGCAACAGGCTGAAAACAAATTTGTCGCAAAATCCACTGCTTTTCTTTGCTCTTTTTGCGTTTTTAGATTTGACGAGCAAATAGCTATAACACTGTTTTGCTGAAAATTGATTCAAAAGCAGCCGAATTTGTGGAAACCGGAACAAAAATAGCGAAATCCGAAAACTTTACCGTACAAAATAATTATGGATTCAGCACAACGTATATTAAATTGGTTTTGGAATTGGCTTGTTTTTGTGGAATCTGTTTTCACTTTACTGAATTCACATACATTTTTCTATTATAAATTACAATTAAGTCGACTTTGTAGAAATTGCTTAAATTGCTTAAATTTGTAGAATCCGCTTACAGTTTGAGGAGTTTGGTTATTTTTCAAAATCCAGAACAACTAGCTACATATACAAGGTGCGGGAAAAAGTTACAAAATCCACGGGATATTTGTAAGTGGAATTGACTCAGAATTTGGAATTTTTTTGCAGACTTTTATCTGCATTTATGACTTAGACACCGAGAGGTGAGCCTGTCTTGTGCACGGTTTGGCCTCGTAATGAATAAGTTTTTGGTCGTTTGATCTCAGATGAAAAAAACTGCTTAAAAAAGCATCAGTTAAGCTAAGCTTTGAGAAATGAATGCAGTGGATATAGTCAGATATAGGCATTTTTGAGCTACTGTACTATCTAGAATTACGCGGAAGAACCCCACCAAAATATTTTTCAGAGCACATTTCAAAGGAACTTTTACCTGCTGAAAGCAAAAAATAGAAAACAACAACAATTGATGAATAGATTTACTTAGCCGTTTTCCTGTATTGAGATTACCCTCATAAAGTCCTATTTTTTGTGCGGGTTTTTTATATGTTTTTCATCTTTTTATTTTTGATCTTTTTCGCATCGCGCATAGGGCTAACTCGTGGTTCTACGGAATCCGCGTGGGACTTCCGACTGCTCTGTTTTTCTGTTGTGTCTTCGGAGCACTTGGTACACTCGTGGCCCTTCGGAAGAGACGGCGAAGCACCAATGGTAGGTATGAGTTTGTTTCATTATAAATATAATTATATTTTGAGACCGCAAACTTACAACCATACATTATATTTAATTGTACGTTTAAAATTTAGTTCGCTTGGTACAAAACCAAAAAGAATCAGCCTGTCGGATGGTTTCTCTATTAGCAAAACGTATTCGCCTACTTTTTTTATAACTTAGATCATATAGACACTATTGAAAAAAGACTGCAAAAATTCTTCGAAAATCAAGAATAAAAAGCAAAAAACAGAACCAAAGCAAAACTCCAAGCGGCGTGCATATTATTGTTTCTAAGGATTAACTAAAGAGACTTTTTTCATTTTGCTCAAAAACAATCTATAATTTTTCCTTGAGGTTTATTGCTATTTCAGATTTTACAGACTGTTTTTATTTAATTAAGTTTTTTTTGACACATTTTGTCGACCATCTGTTGAAAAACGGATAATGGAACAACTATGGATGCACAGTTTGCTGAAATGAGTTGCTGAAAATTTCCCATCATTTTGTTGCCTTTAAATTTTCAGCTGTTTAATATTGTGTATTAATTATTGCAATGTTATGTCACATGTTTTTTCCAGCATGTGTTGCAGTAGATCTGATTATCATGAAAAAAAACGAACTACTTGATTCTAGAAAACTGGCCAGCTGCAAGTAACCCTAGAGCTGCAAGTGTCCAGTTCCGAATCCAGACACCTATGTACCCTCCCACCCCCGGATATTTTCCCCCTCTACCTCCAGCAGAAGGGGCCACCTACCCCGGAGCAGTGTCGGAACAACAACATCAGTCGGAGAAAGAAAGGGTATGTAGCTTTTCAACGGTATCATCGAAAAAAGTACCGTATCGATTAAGTATATATACAGTTTAGCTGCAATTAAAAAAGAAAAATCATCTTAAATAAAAAAAAAATCCGCTTAATGATTGGATCAGGAACTATGTTGAGTTCCCGCGCTGCTGCAGTCTAAACTCAGGTGAAGTACTTTTTGGGTAATTATTTTTTTAAAGATTATTAAGGTTTTTTACATATATTTTTTGCATCAGGATTCAACTCTGAGAGAGCCACTGATTCTTCATTCACCTTGTTTAAGTTAAAATTGGTCAAAGTTTTTATTCAAACAAAATAAAACTCAAAAATATTTGGAAGCTAATCAGCCATAATTTAAAAAACGAATCTGATCTTAATATTTTTTCTTGTAAGAATTGCATCGGCCTAAATTTTTAGTTGTTTTAATTGAAAGAAAATGAAAGCAAGTTTAAAAAAATGTACTAACTGGACATAAAAGCACATAATGTCAAGTCTTCAAAACTGCTGCTGAAGTCTTTACATAAATAACTTAAAGAAATTTTTATTTGTTCTTAGCAACTCTGCCTAATTGATTTTGCTAAATGCAAAAATCTGACGAAAGTATTCAGTGAGTGAATGTTTTTTGCTCATAATAAAAATCAAATACTTATTCAAACGCTGATTTCTTATAAATTAAATGATACAACAAAGTTGAAGTAGCACATAATCTTTAATTTTCAGTGTTTCTTTCATTTATTTCTGCACCGTTGACTGATTGCTAATTCATCACAGATTGAAAGATTTTCAGCTCGTTTAATCAGTCTGACTAATTGATGAGAATTCATGCAATTAAATTTGCTTAGCGCTGAGTTTTAATAACCATAAAAAATTGTTTTTAATGAAGATTCTTTTCACCGTTAATTTCATTACATTTGCAACTAAATGAAATCTTATCGCGGGAACGTCGTAGAACTTTGAAGTTTGCTCTGCATAGTAATATTTCTAGATTTTGGTCGAAATTTGCTTAACAACGTTCTGTTCAAATTGTCCGCCAGACACATTGTCGAATACAATTCAAAACATTCTTTTTCGCCATTCGAAGAAATTGAAAACAGTTCTTGTTATGTGTCGTTTTCTATTCAGGTCGAACTTACGAATAATTATTTGACAGCTTGCATCTAATATGCGTCCTCGCACTCGTCTAAATGCGTTTTAAAAAACTCGCTTTAATTATTCTAATTTCAATATGCAAATTTTCATGCGTGGCGAAGAATACAGTTCTCATATTCTTTCCAATTTACTTAAATTCATATAAAATGGTCAAAAAATTTCTGTAGAAAAATCCAAACTTAGTACCAAGTTTGGGTCAATGTTCCTTGCTTTTTGCGATTTGCAACTAATCTTTATCTCAAGGTTAAACCTCACATCCATCGTACTATTCAGTCATAGTTTTCTAATTTCATTTTACTTAGACCTGTTTCCGTGTGTTCAACATGTTTCCAACTGATTCAAACACGTAAAAATGAATAAAAATGGAAAAACTATCTTTCCAAAGGTTATGCACGATTGCCAATAGGATAAAGAGTAACAAACGGTCTATAGGACTGCTTTATCAAGCCCTTACGGGTACACAAATCAGATTGACATACTGATATGTTTGCACAAATTCATTAATTTAAAGACCTCGCAGACACTTTCAATCAGATTTTTCAAATTGGTTGAAGCAAAAAGGAGACTTGAATCTGAACTGTTTTTTTTTGGGACTCGAACGGACTGATTCTTCATTAGGAGGCCAAACTGTTTTTTTAGAATGATAAGCGGCTTCCGCAACAAGGACGCGCTATTTGATCTTAGTTAGTTCTTTTGTTTTATTTGATGGAATCCAGGAACAGACAGACACAAAATTGTGCGCCTATCCAGTTCACAGTTTGGCCTCGTAGTGTTTTTGTTTTTCGTTTTTTTTACGTTGTCATTGCCCTACCCGTTATTGGCATAGGCACAGTTAATGGCAATGAGGAAAAGAGGAGAGCATGAATGTTATGATGAAAAATCAATTATAAGATCAACCAGACCAAAATGAAAAAATGGCTTGAATTTTTTTTAACTGTAAAATTTTATTCAATTTAATCAATATTTGAAATAAGTTTTCCCAAAAAACAAAATTGCAGGATTTTTATTTTCCTTGTTAAGCAGATGCAAATCTTTCATTTTGAATAAATTTTGACTATATGTTAAGTAACTATGTAGCATTTAAAAGATTTTGTTACCAGGTTGAGACTTAAGCATGTTCACTTAGTATGAGAGTGCGCGACAGCTACAGCAGACCAGAGATCGTGCTGATTAGAAACACCGAAAAAGTTTGAAGTATTCGTTTTCTTCGATATACGCGAATCACTAGGTATTTGAACCTAGTTATCCGTCGTGCTGGACAAAAACGTATAAGTTGGGTTGAGCCTAAAATTTTCAAAATATATAGTGTCTCTTCTGTTTTCCACCCTGGAAAAGCAATGTCGGAATCGAATAAAGTTTAAAATTATACCTTTTTTCTTTTATTTGCTTGTGATTTGCGTGATCGTCTAAATTCATAACGATAAAAAGAAGCCTTTGCTCTTTAAAAGTGTACTGAATTCACGAGCTTGTGCGCAAGATTGGCCAAATTATATACATTATTTAAAAAAAAACACTTTTTATTCAAAATACTTATACATTTGAACTGGAAGCATTCATTTTGAAGCCAAATTGTTATGAAAACTGCACTGACTGAAAAGCACGAATTATCGCGGAAAAATGGTCGATAAACACTTCGGCAACCAAAATTAGCGCGTTTTTGTAGCAGAAAAAGCATAAAAAACAAGCTTGCTTGTATATCCCTGAAAATTACGGATGCCCTTAATAATCAGGTTTTTTTTCACATTTTTTTGTTCTAACTTTCGAAGAAACCGAATTTTTATGATCGATGTAGTTTTTTTATTGAGTCAGTTTTCGCCAGTCAAAACCATAATTTTGAACAAAAATTTTAAAACCCACTTGAAGATATCAACATTCTGAGTTCGAATTCAAGAAGATATTTTACCTTCGATTCTTTTTTGTCAAGCTCTGGGGCTTGCAAATTAGTACATTGGCCATGTTCTGAACTAAGTTATGCGCGCTTTGAAAAGCTTATTCATAATGCTGAGAGCGTAACGCGAACTATTTATGCGTGGCGAATTATCCAGCACAACAAAATTGCTCCAAATTGAATTGAGGCTAGCTAATTGGTCGTATTAATTTCGTACGACTCAACAGTTTACACTTTGAATAGTTCAAAGTTTATAGGTTTTCAATATTTTCTTTTCCTGAAAATTATTTGATAGGAATTAGGGGACAGTGGAAACATTCAGGGCTTTGCCCTGAGATACGAGCAGACTTGTTTTAGGTTATACCTAAGAGTGTTTAAGGGTGTAAGGATGTATTTAGCGTCTGATATTGTATTAATAGGACCAAATAAAAAACTTCAATTTAAATTGAAATGCTATAACTCGCTGCTTGCGCGAGTTATACGAACGCATCATATCGCGCGTTAACTATACCAATTCGGCCAGATTAGAATTTTTAATTCTTCAAACCCAATAAAATTCCAAAAAAAAAAATTATTGGTGAATCCGGACAACAAATTTCAGCTCAAGACAGCATATTTTTCTGATAGAATAAAACGAAAAAGTCTTCAAAATTCGTAACAGTAACAACACCTTCAGTTTAATTTAAGGAAGTGGCTCAACAGATGGCTATGACTTCGTCGCCTTATCCTTTTCCCCAAACTGTAATGATTCCTCCTCGTCGTCCAGTTGAAATTGGGAAGTCACAGCTGAACAGTGGCTTCGTATCTATGGAAGATGCGAAACTTCAACAAAATGATGAAAACTGAAAAAAAGGAAAGTGCAACAAAATTATGAAAACTGAAAGAAATTCTACTGCAACAAAATGAGAAAAACCGAAAAAAGAAACTGCAACAAAATCATGAAAACTAAAAAAAAGGAATTTGCTACAAATAATAAAAACTAGAAAAAGAAGAAACTAGAACAGTATGCTGAAAAAAGAAACTCTGAAGATGGATATGGACTCTTTAAACGACTAAAACAGTTCGCTGCTTTGTTTGATCTTTTTAATAATTCCTCTTAAAAATCTTAGCTGCGCCTGTCCATTTCCCAGGACTATAAAAATATTGATTTAAAAAATCTTTACGATGATTTCAAGATCGAACAAAGCAAGAAACAGCTTAATTTGTACGACAGCAATATTGTTAATGCAACAATTGCTACTTCAACTGTATTGTCGTCATTCAAGGTTACACGAAATAATGAGTACCTTTCACTTCTCCTTGATTGTTTAGTTTAATTAGATCTCTCCTTATCGATTAACTTAATTTCTATAAACCATTTTTAACCAAATCAGCATAAATTTTGTCCGATTGTTATGAAATTTGACATTCAGGGTATTTAAGTCATGACAAACATAATTGCCCCGGGTTGACCCAAACTTTTTATCATACAATTCCATACGTACAGAAATTTTTATGGGATCTCTATGATAAGCATTTTTCCATATATGAGAAATTGTATGATAAGTACTTTTCCATGAACCAAAAAGTTGATTTCTGAAAAATTTTGCATTGTGTTCGTTACCGAACTCAAGTGAAAAATACCTTGGTATATTCAAAGCACCAAAGGTTGGACAGTCTTGCATTTACAATGCATTGAAAACGACCTGAATTGTCTTTCACAAATGGTATAACGAAAGAAATAAACTTTTAAAATTTGGCAAAAACTTTTAATGATGATTCTTTTTATTGATCAAGGCATTTACAAACACGTAATACAAACGAAATACGAGTTTTCAGCGTCGTTGAAAATAGTTTTTAACCCAAAAGAAAAAACATCCAACATTAGTGTATCCAGGACTACGGTCAGCATACAAAAAATTTAATTTTCCCTGCAAAATTTTTTTTGGAAAATGTTTGTGTGAGTGCAAAAGTCGATTTGCGGTTGAAAAAAGCAAACAAAAAATAGGGCAATCTCAAAATTAAATTTTTGTGTCGCCATTTCAAATTTTTTGTTGTGCCGGTTTGCTCATAACCAAACTGTTTTATTAGAATCAAACAGCCGCACACACAAATTAGTTTATATCTTTTTTAACCATTTTTTGAATTGTTCGATACACTTGATTTATGGAATTGTACGATTAGCATTTTCGGGGTACGGAGGTCAAACTGCGTGGTCTTCGTAACCAACCTTGTAGGATGTCTTTTTACACTATAAACTTGATGATTATGTGAGGTTGGGGGGGGGGGGGGGGTAGGAGGAGAGATGGAAAAAGAGCTCAAAATACTTTTAGATCACTTACCTATAAGTAATTTTTAAACTTCAAAGAAATTGTTTTGAATTGGTTATGTTATGTAATATTTTAGATTCGGTTAGACACAAAAAGTAAAAACTTAAATTTAATCTAACAATAGAAACCATTTAGAATTTTCAATTTTGTAATCAGGGTTTTCTCAAAATATTTTAGTTTTTTCAAATCTTTTTGCCACGCAAAATAATCAGATACCACAAAAATCACCAGAATGGGTCGAGTGCTATATCATTTTGAAGCCTTTTCCCTCGTGATTCGATTGACAAATAAACCGACGAGTAGGTTTCGTAAGAGAAAAATATTTATACAAGCCGATTGAAATTTAATTTTATTCTAGCAAACATATTCTCGAAGCTTCAATTCTTTCTTCCAAGGAACTAAACAATTTTTAAAAATCAGAAAAGAAAAAGCTTTTCGAAACTTTTTAACAGCTTCTTTTTTGTTTTGTAATTCATAGTAATTTCTTTTTCCTAAATCCCCTGCCGCCTCCCCCCAACCCCTACCCCAAACTATGTTGAACATTTTGTGATATTAACACAGTTACCGGCTATCCTTGTTGCACTTTGTAATTATTGGTTATTTGAGGCAATAAGAATCAGTTACGTAAAAACAGCTCTAAACACCCTTTCTGATAATTAATTGAAAAATCATAAATTCATGACCGCATCCTGCGTCAACCGATATAGATTGATGAGCCTCAAATTTCATATTTCTGCCAAAAAACCACTTTAAATCAAAAACTCATATCTCCAAAAACTTGTAGAGTTCTTTGCTTTACTAATAATAGTTCAATCAAACAATTTTGCACAAAATAATATTCTAGTTTAAGCCTGTTCTTTTTAACCGTTTGTTCTAACAATTTCAAACCGGGTCAATCAATCATCACCATCTCTCTCAGTAGCGGATTTAGGGGGCAGGGGTCGGGTGAGGACGCCCCATCTCCTTGGTCATTCGACATCCTGGCTACCCAAGCAAAAGGTGCCCCTTTTGCTACTATTTTAAGACCTCAATTTTTGGCTGGATGGCCTTAAATTTTTACATTTTTCTTAAAACGCCTTTGGCGCCAAAATATGCCATTTTTGAGGGGAGAGAGCGCGCCGAAAACACGGAAATTTTTGGTCAAAACTGCCCAAAAAAGCCTATAAACGCTCTTTTTGGCCTGTTTTTTTTTCATAAAATCACCTGCGGCTCAGAAAACTTGACCAAAACAGGATCTTTTTAGTGACTTGGGAAAACTCAGAAAATCAATTTTGAGGAGCTTAAAAAAGGTCGACAAAATTTTTGATTTTTTTTAGGGCACTCTCCGTTGCACTCTCCTTCAAGAAAATCCTAGATCCGCCTTTGATCACTCAGATGATGTAAAAAAAAAACAGACAAACTTTTTTTGAAAAGTTCGAAACTGGGTTGATAAAAATTGAACCAATAATTATAATTTCTGTTACTTACAAAATTTTTAATGATTGGTTTAATTCGTCTTCGAAATGTTGAATAAAATTCACCTACAGAAGTTTTTTTGAAATGATTTAAACCTGAATTTGAAAAAATTATCGTGAAGTTTGGTCCATGATAGCGACCAGGTGTCACTAATGAAATTTGTTCCATGATAGCGACCAGGTGTCACTTAAAACTAGTTGGTGGCCACGAAACAAAATTGAAACTGTATATCTTTTCAGTTATGTCTTTTATATATGTTTTTATATGTTTTATATATGTCTTTTTCAGATACTCGAGACCATTTGATGAATATAAGGAACTTTATTTGCTGTTACTCTAAAAACTTATCACGATTTTTCACCTAAAATTTAATTTTTTGAGAAAATACGTTTGGTTCATCAAATTTTGACATCGATTACAATTTCATTCAGCCTCAAATATTAATTTTTGTCCAGAAATCATTTTACATAAAAAGAAGTGTTAAGAAACAGCGATTTTAGTGAATTTTATTGTAATTTATGGAATAAAAGCTCAAAAAACAATTATGAACACTCAAAAAAAAGGTAAATTTGTATGCCAATTGAGCTTTATTAATTGAGTATTTCAATTGAGTCCCTACTTGTTATTTTATTAAGGTTTTGAATGTAGGCTATGCCATTGGTTTCTGTGACTGCTCAATGTTAGAACCAAAAACAACCCAACTTTTGCTTTGGATAAAATGCTATCCAAAATCATTGCTTACTGAACTTTTTTAAATTTAAACAAGACTGCTCGTATCAAGGCGAAGCCCTGAATGTTCTGACTGCCTTTTAAGGGTTTATGGAGCAGTAATAACATTAAAAAAATAAATGTAAGAAAAAAAAGACAAAATTTTCTAAAATTTGAAATTTTTTATAAAAATCATCCCCCGACACGCCATATAAAGTACAAAAGGATAGATTTCGCTCCTTGTAACAAATCAATTATGGCAAGTAAGCTTCTGGTGTCAGGACAAAAGATACCATACAAAAAGCTCCCATGACAAAAGATACCATTAGACGAGCTCACTGCTTATTTCCAAAAAAACGTACATTAGATGCGATTTGATTGGCCGAAAAACTCTTTTTCCTATTTTTCTTTGGAACCATTATAAAAACGCTGTGTGTGGTCTAGCCCGAACCACAAATGCAGTTGAAGGGTGGCATCTAGGTGTAACCGCTTTGTTTCAAGGCAGCCATCCTTCAATACATACGTTTCTCGAAAAAATTCAACTGGATTCCTACAATCAAATGTTCAACATTTTGAAGGCATCCAGCGGCACTATCAAATTATCCCGGAAGAAGTACCGTGATCTGAATGAAAAAGTTCAACAGACAACAAGTTCATTCACAGACTCTAACTTATTGTCTTATATTCGCCCACTTGCCCATTTAACCTATTAAATTTTGTTTGTTTTTGCCTAATTTTTCCTAAATTTAAATTTGTTTGATCAACTTTTTTATAGACGTCTCCTTGCACCCTCCCGGAGAACGCCGAAACGCAATACTACGACTCGCATTCGAAAATGCTGTCTCTAGCAATTTGATCCCAGAGCAATTGCTCTTATTTACGGGACGCTAGGTTGGGGGTAGGGGCCTCACGGCCCTTTGAGTATTGCGCCTAGCGAAAAAAAGTTGATCAAAATTGAGAATTAATATTTTTTATCAAATAGAATGGCAAGTGTTTCGTAATGAAAATGATTTGAAAGCTTTAGAATTTTGCAAAAACTCAATTTCAATTTTGTACCGACTTGAGTTGTCTGGAAAATCAGGCCATTTTTGAAAAAGTTAGTTTTGATTAATTGGAAATTTTTTTCAAGTTCAATTATAGTCTAAGCTGTTTTGAAGTTTGAGTTTCATTTTAAAGGCCAAGTGATTAGCAAGTTCATTTATGTTCGAAATTTGTGCAGCAAAAGTTTTGCCGTTTCTTTGATTTCAACCGACGCTTTGTTTTTTCTTTGATCGACTAACCGCTTTATTTTCAATTCTCAGGTTTTTTGTTATTTTATTATGGTATCTTATGTCGTGGGTATCTTCTTTCACCAATTTGGAACGATTTTTAAGACGGATTAACTCTCCGCTCACGCAATAATAGCGCGAAATATATCGCGCGTTAATTGTCCCAAATTGGCCAAAATGGCAATTGTTAAACCCCCATAACTTTACCAAAACTGATCACAGGTGAAATATACTTTTTTCAATTTTAAGCTCAGGACAATTATACCTTTTGAATGATATAAAAAAATTCTGTCAAAAATGGCTAGTTAAAAAGTCAAAATAGTCTGA